CAACCGGAATTCAAATCAGTAGCCAGGCCTGACGTGCTCAGCGTCTATTTCACGTCGGATGACCAGACAGTGAAGGAGGTGTTGGCCGAACCTACGGCCGAGGAAGTCCCCATAGTTGAATTGCAGAATTTCAGCGATAGTTTCTCCTTTGATTTGAAAAATGCGGCTCTTGAAAATCGTGGGGTCTGTTTCGAATATGATGCGAACAAGATGCGCTTTAAGGTCAATATTGACCCCAAACATGTTTCCAAAATTATTTTACCTGCTTTACTCTGGCGAATGCTAGGATTCGAAAGTGCTACCCTTACTGGTCCTCAAACTGCAAGATATTTGCCCGACCTCAACTTCAACACTAGGAACTTGCGCATTTTTTGCAATTTGGTAGATCCCCATTTGGTAGGGGGCGAGTTTTTAGAGCTGCTCCGAAGTATCCCTAACGACACGCTACCCGGAGGGTTTTCCACAAAAAGTTTTAACCCTCCGGTATACCATCGCGTGAAGCAGGGACGTTTCAATTCGATTAAATTGCATGTAACCGACGACAATGGGTATGAGGTGCCCATGAATATCGGGAAATCGGTCGCCCTTCTCCACTTCAAAAGACTATATTAAGCAGCGTGGTATCCTTCATGCCATTTTCCCCACATGATGTCTTTCTCCACTTCTTATTATCACGTTGACCCTACTGAAATTGTTTGGGAGTTTAGCGAGCCCAAGCAAAACATGACGTCTAAAACGCAGAAAGGTGGTGGGGCCATAGCACCTTTCCGTCATAGTAAATTTTTACTTCCCGTGAAACATAGCATCTCCACGCCTGCACCCACCACCGTACCTTTGGGACCTTTCGTGGAAAGTTTAGTAAAAACGAGGGCACCCTCGAACTTTGGAGCTATAAAAAGGGGTAGAAAGCGACAGGCAACCATTTTTACAGTTATCCCTCCTAAAAATGTCCGCGGTAAAGGCTTTGGAAAACAACCCTGAGCTTTCTTTTTCCAACGAACTTGCTCTTTTCGACCCCATTCAACATGTTGTAGGTGTTCAGTCTATGCGTTTTAGAAGTATCGCCCCAGAAAATAGTAGTCTGAATCAAACGGGTCCTTACACGTTCCGTATCATGAAAGAACCTCATTTTATTAGCCTTGCCCGTTCCTATGTCACAATGACTTTGCGTCTGGTCGACGAAAATGGAAAAGGTTATGAACATTCGGAGAAAGATTCCTCTACGGGTGTTATATCTTTCAAAGAAAGGTGTGCACCTATACAATTTGCTGCTCGTTCTTTCTGGAAGCAAGCCACAGTCAGCATTGGAGGCACCCAAATTGAAAATTCTGGAGATTTGTACCCATATCGTGCCTTCATTAACGCCGAATTCATGACGGATAAGAACGTTAAGCAGTTTAACTATGGCCATCCCCAACTCTATGACGCTGGCGATAACGGTTCGGAGGATGTGACCAACGATGGTTTCGAAAATATGAGTGTCCTTTTCATGAAGGGGAGGTCTGTGCAGGTGAACAGCCCTCTGGATTTGAACATCTGTAGTTCTAATAAGTTGATGCTCAACAATACCGACATCCAGATTACCCTGCACCGACAAAGCGATCAGTTCCTAATCCGCGCCTATGGTTCGACTAAGGAAACCTGGCGCTTGGTGATTGATGACATTCGCCTTGTTGTGGCCGAGTACCAACTGTACCCTTCGGCGGTTGCCGCCATCGAGCGACAGCTGAGTACTGGCAGAAAGGCTAGCTACCCCATGCGCAGCTATCAGACCAAAAGCTTTTTCATGCCCGAGGGTGTTTTAAAGCTCCCCGAAATGCAACTTTTTAACTCCAATCAGATCCCTCGACGTATTTTTGTGGGCCTTGTAAAGAATGAAGGCTTTGTGGGTTCGTACAAGACTGATCCTTGGCGTTTCCACCATAATAATATCAAAAATTTGTGTATTCGTTTTGCGGGGCAGGCGGTACCGTATAAACCTTGGAATTTGACTTGGAATAAGGGCGGTTTGGGGTGTACTGAGGCCTATACGCAGATGCTGGAAGGTTGCGGTATGACCGGCAGCAATTTGACAAACGGTATTCCCCATACCATGTTTGCAGATTCGCGTTGCGTGCAAGTGTTCGAACTTTTGCCGGACGCTGACGGCGGTGTCAACAGTTTCGATATGGCGGTTGCTGGGCAGTGTACGTTGGACTTGGAGTTGAGCCAACCGGTGCCAAAAGGTGGACTTATGGTCGTTGTACACGCCGAGCTAATGGATAAATTGACGCTGGACCACGCCCGGCAAGCCCAGACGCTTACATTGTAACATGAACAACTTTCGAATCGATTCTATTCTTATGACGAACCCCGTGACGCATGCATTCTACCAAGGGACCTACGCCTCGGACACACTTCCAACTCACGCGTCAAAGCCTGCATTCTGCGTCAACACCGACAAAATATCGAAAGATGGGAAGCATTGGGTTGCGCTTTTCGCCCGCGGGGATACTGTATTTTATTTCGATCCGCTTGGAGATGAACCTCGAGGCGAAATTAAAAAATGGTTAACTAACCATTTTAAAAATGTGGTCTCAAACTGGAAGCAATGTCAAGCCTATGGAACACGAACTTGCGGTGCCTTCTGTATCATTTTTTTGTATAAGATGTGTCTAGGTATGCCTTTCTATGATGTGTTGAGATTTCTTCACAACATTGATGATTTATTTGTCGTTTTCCTTATGAAATCTCAGTTTGACTTTGCTCTACCCTTGGCCTACGCCGGGGAGATTCTATATAAGGAGATCTAGCTCAACGATTCGGTCTCATTCTTTCTAGTTTTGATGAATTCACTGCCGTCTCCGCGTCCTGATTATCGTTGTTTCAATTGCGATAAGCGATTCTCAACTAACTCTAATCTCGTGCGCCACATAAAGCTAAACTGCCGCAGCTCCGTCAGTGAGGAAGGCAAGCTGGTTATCGAGGAGAATCATGGCCTCAGAGTCGATATCCCGAAAAACGGTGATCATGATACAAACGGAGCGAAGAAAATCTTTGAAATATCTTTTTATTACGACGCTGTTAGTGGCAGTGTTAAATCTCATTTTAACACCTGCAATTCGTGACCGAGTCGTTGAGCATCTCCTTTTTTCTTTGTTATGTATGTAGCCCTTTTTTTGCTTCTATGCGAATAAATATTATAAAGTAAATCGTGGTACTTCACACCGGAGAAAACATATGCTGGGTGTGTAAAATAAACAGGAGCAAAAAAACCTCAAAAACCTCTTGTACTATTTTGGGTTTGAATAAAAGTGTTTTCGATAGGCCATAGAAAGAACATCGGGTGAATAAAAAAGAATTGGTTTCGTGTGAATAAAAAGGAAGATATAGTAAAATATAAAAAGGTATAATATAGTAGTTACAGGTACCCAGCGGCAATCGCGTTGCGGGCATTGCGAAGGCTCTATTGGTTTTCAAGCGCATGACTGCGTTGCGTGTCGCGGGCGCGGGAAAAGCTATCGAGTCGCGCTGCGTGCCGTGTCGCGGCAACACCTATCAGAAATCCTGAACTAGAGCAATGCATCGGGAGCGATGCTTTGTCTGATGCTTTAAAACCAAGAAAACAGTATCCTAAGAAAATCAAATGCCTTTGTGCGCCCAGATAGGCCGTTTTGGTCATTTGGGTTTTGCCACCCGCCGCGCTCGGGTGCCCCATTTCCCAGTCGGATTGCGTCTTAAGGGCCATTGCCACCTTTATTTATTGAAAATGAGGTCCTGTCGGGGAAAGTTCAGCTGTCTTCTCTGGACTACCAAATTTACCCTTTTTCTACCGGACAGCGTGGGAAATTCGGAATTTTGCAGACCGGAAACTGACCCCAGACGTGTATTCCAGAGACTACCATGACCGAAAAACATTTTTAAAAATCACTTCTGGAACATTGTGCATTTTTGAGGTTGTTGTTGGTGTCCAGGCCCGTAGGAGGGGGGGGCAGCTGGCCCTGGCCCCCCCGAAATCGGTCGAGGTCCGAAAAATTCATAAGGGGGGACCCTTCTGATTTTTAGTTACAAAATTTTTTCTGCCTGTGGCGCTGTTTATTACTGTTTTTCAAACAGTTTTTACTTATAAGAAGCCTATTTTTTCGAAATTTTTTGCCTGCGGCGCTGGATTTTCATTGGTGAATCAATTGTTCACAAAAATTTTCGCCTGCGGCGGGTTTTCTGCCGTGTTTTCACACGAATTTGAGTGTAGCGAACGCTTTTTTGCGATTCTTTTGCCTGCGGCGCTATTATTGACGCGATTTTCGGATGCTTTAAAAGTGGCGACCGGGCGGGGGGAGGTCGCCAAAATTTTTGGGCCCCTCCCCCCCGAAATTCGGTTCCGCTACGGGCCTGTTGGTGTCTGACCGGGAACGGATACCACCCTAAAAATCGACCCTAAAAAATTGCGAGCTTTTCCAGGCAAAAGGCTCTTCTCATGATTGATAGTTTATGCTTCATTCGATCAGAATGTCCTTCATAATGGTCTGGAGGTACATTCGCAGTAGACATAATTTAGGGATTTTTCGGGGCCTGTTTAGTAGCATCAACTTCTTGGTATGGTGCAACAGACCGCCGGGATCGAAAAATGTCTCGTGCGGCCCATGCAGGAAAACCGTTGGAACGCCTTCTCCTTTCCCTGACATTGTCCCGCCTTTTGATCGGCTTAAATTTCTTTGTTTCCTACGGAGGAACGTGGTTTTGGAGACCAAAAAAAATCGCGAAAACAGGATACGTAAATTTCAACCTTTTCGCCGTTTCTCGTTTTTGCTTGCGAAAAATGATATTTAATGGGGCCTCCTGTCTGCAAGATTGTAGCCCCTAATTCATGAGGGCGCCAGAATTCAAGAGGGGACCAGAATTAGTGTTTAACAATCAGAAAGAAAAGCCCGAGGAGTTGGACCGCCGGAATCAAAACATTATTCTTTCAAAGACCAGTGAGCTTTGATCTCTGGATGTATGTAATTGCCAATAGCACCTTATCGTACAACTTTTATGTTCAGATACTCCGTTACGGAAATCACTGACACCGAGCTTGGCATCTGGTGTCGACCGGCGACCATCAGACGCGTTTCTTCGGAGATGAGGAGCAGGACCCTCAATATAATATCGGGAAGTTAAGGCTTCACGCGTGAGAGAGAGAGAGAGAGAGAGAGAGAGAGAGAGAAAGAGAGAGACAGATAGCGAGAGAACGAAAGAGAGACAGCCGCAGTTGACCGCGGGTAGGCGCGAGCAAATTTGAGTAGCAAGACATAAAAACATACCATAAAGGCAAAAAATTGGCAATATCAGCAAATATTGGTTGTAGAAGGAAGATGACATAACTCTCGTTGAGATAAATCGTGTTGACAAGGATCTAAAGGAACAACTTAACCGAACATGCGTAGAAATAAAAGCGATCGTACCAGGTTTCATTTGCATCAGAGGTACTACAAAAAAATTGTGCCAGCTCACCAGTTCCAGCGTGTTGATCAGCTGCGCGGAAAACTGAGCTAGTGTCGTGATATGGAAACGAAGCTCCCTTTTATGCATGGCTTTGGTGTAGGTAAAAAGTTTAAAGGCCGTGTAGAGGTTGACGAGTAGCGTCAGGACAATGACAACGCCACAGATGGGATAGTAGCCCTTTTGGACAGATACCTGAAAGAAGGATCAGATTGAGCAGCAATCATAGAGCATATAAACAGTATATGGTCCAATACGCTCCAACTTCTGTAAGGTGAGACATACCGCAAAATCGCCATTTTCAGTAGTATGCGGTATATACAAGCCCCAGCCGAGGCGGTAGAATTTGCTGGTGGCCGTGAAAGATGGGGCGCGATAAATTAGCGGAATCAAGGCGGTGATACCAATGTAATGCCACGTGTAAGGGCCCCAGATCTAAATTACTGATACTTTACAGTTATAGAAACGTCTTAATTGGACTGGATGAATTAATGCGGTAATCTATAGAAAATGCGGCTGACCTACCTTCACATATTTATAGGGAAATGCCAACGCCGTCGCTCGATTCAACGCAATTAGCAGTGTTCCGAGATATTGGAACATTATGCAATACTCGCTCATCCAACTGACGAGCCCCGGGAAGAAGCCTTCCTGAAAAGTTAGGCGTGCTTCTTGATTCTGATACTCTCAAAAACCGGAGAGTGAGCGGTAGAAAAGTATTGGGTGAGAAAGCTAGGGAGTACGTGCGAGAGAGAGAGAAAGACAGACAGAGCGAGAGAGTGAGAGAGAGCGAGAGAGGCAGTGAAGCAAAGTGAGAGGAGCAGAGAGAGAAATCGAAACCAAAACTTACCCTCACATACCAAAAGACCTCGAAGAAACCCCAGGTTGGGATGCGTACCCGGAACATAAACGAGTAATGTGCGACAAGATCCTAAAATGTGTTTTATGCTTGATTGTACCCAGGTATTTTTGACTATTTGGATCGAGATCGCTTATTTTAGTCTGATGTGATACCGATACCGAAGGTAGCTTTCTTCTTAAAGGGATGCCCAACCTTTCCGGAGCTCAAAAAGGAAAAACCATGTCGCGGGCGTCGAACCCGGGACCCTCGTTTTGTAGACCTGGATGCTATCCATTAGGCCACAGTGGCAAGCCATCGGGTGGGATGGGGACGCCACAAGTGGGAAAGGGTCCGAATTTTTGTGCGGCAATGGGCCCCCCGGTGCCGCACGAAATTCGCGCGTCAGTTGTACTGTCCGGAATACATAACTACATATTTGCCGCCAAAACCTTGGGTATCCCTTTAATTATGCAATGGATTTAATCAGGGAATTCCAGAATCTCTTACATTTGCTGTACATACGAAGAATATCTTCTGAAAATGAGTCTCGAACCCATGACGATAGTGGTATAGCGCTATCCTCAAGAATACAAACACCGACAGAACGCCGATTATAAAAAACACAGTGCTCGAGGCAGCCTCTCCGGGGTCAAAGTAATGCCCTTCATAGTCATTTGGATGCTCAGAGTCTTCGAAGAGCATTCAGAAATTTTTGAAGCTTCACTTGTGGGGTAAAATTGTAAAGAGTGTGCAATGTAAATATTGCAGCCCAGGATAATGGGCAGAATTCAAAAAAGGTACCCCGGTAATCAAGCGCCTTCAGATAATTATGTACCCGAACATCCGAGGCAAATTGGCGCAATGTTTTCGCGAAACGAGCGGGTTGAAAAGATGGGGTTTAATTGGTGGGTCTGCAAATTGCGGAGAAAAAGTGGTAACTCGTGCCTTATTTGGCCGGCGAAAAAATCAAAGGTTACAGTGGCGAAGTGGAACAGTGTTTTAGGAAAAGCCATGCAGATTAGAAACCCCACACACGCCAAGCCACTTAAAGGTACACTAAAGTCTCGTTGGTTTGGTTACCGGCCGGTAACCGTCCGCGAGATAGCAAACAGGGTTACGGTAGGCGCTCGCCGCGGAGCAAAACCGAACCCTGACTGCCAGCTTGGGGGCAGCGCCTTGGACCACTAGGCCAAGGGAGAGACGGGAAGGGGAAGGGGAGAGGCGGTAAGAAGGGGCTGGGTCCGCTGCGGCAGAGAGCCCAAACTTCCTACCACGACCGAACTTTTTGAACGAGATTTTAGTGTACTTTAAAAAAATACGTCTATTGCTCTTATTGTTATGCAAAATCAGGGTGTACCTCTTTTTCTGTCATAATAAAAAATTTCTAGTTTGACAGCGAACAGCCAGTAATATTTCGATACCTTCGGGCTTGAGCAAATCAGCCGGATCCGGACAATATTTTTGCTCAAAAACCCGCTGTGATCGTCAAAACAGCGCCCATCCCAGTGTATCCACAATTTGTCTCAATGGTCCGTTGATAAAACTGTGATATAATCAGACATGGCAAACGGCCGGGCCGCCGGCTTTTCGGCCGGAAAAATTAGAATGCGGCTGAGCCGCGCGGCTTGGCCGGAGCTTCCGGTCCGGTTCCGGTATTTTTATGTTTTGAGGCCGGAGCCCCGGCCAAGCCGCCGGCTTTTGAAAAGCCGGTAAGCCGGACCCAAATGAGATTTTCTTATAGTTTCCGGTACGCAAATTGCGGATTCAATCAATAATTAGCTTTATGGCAAGAGAAAAACCACTCCACCATATAAATTTGGTCATTCCCATTCACAATTTTGCATAGAATTCACGGATTCTCACGTAAATGAACAACTTCCGGTTTTCCGGCTCCGCCGGACCGGCTTGGCCGGACCGCAACAAAAAGCCGGCTGGGCCGGGAAGCCGGGTTTCCGGAAGTAAGTCATTAACGCGACTCGTATGGGGCTGGGTTTTATGGAAATTGGGCCGGCGGCTCGGCCGTGCGTCTAGGCCGGCCGGGATTGCCATGTCTGGATATAATTGATGGTTTGGAAAGCAAGACCGAAAGCTGAAACTCGAGAGACTAGAATAGCCCGGAATATTCAGGGAGGTGGGCCAAAATTGGTGGCTCCAGTGATCGTTAAGTTTAATTCCTGGATGGCACCTCCAAGAATAAGAATATGCTTCAAAAAGATGTGTTTTTATGCATTATACATTTTTCAGAGTCTTCGTTTTTCGAAAAATCAAATGTCAAAACGTCATTTTGTTCAAAGTAAAATGCCGACATTTCATTTTGTTTAATTTCGCTTTTCGACGTTGTTCATCACGGTTTATTACGATAAATACATAATCCCGATGTCTAATTTATTAAACATCATTTTTCGACAGAAGTAAAGTCGGCATCCCGATTTTTGACGCGGGGAATTCGACAAATTTCGAGGCATGAAAATTTTGACATAACAAATTTAGAAACTTTGATGTCGATATTCTGCTAATAAAGCCTTCAAAACGAATGGCATTTCCAAAATTTTTCGTAAAATCTTTAATTAACGATTTATTATCAGTCCTTCCGATTAAAATTATTTCTATTAGTATGAGGCCGATCTAGTCGAACTTGTTCGGCGCCCGGTCCTGCATTCACGGCAGTCACGGTCGCTATTTCCATCTCTTGTTTCAGAGCTCTTTTCCCGGCTCCTCTTACGATAGTCCGGGTTTCTTCTGAGATAAGCAGGAGGAACCTAAAGGATTGAAGGTGAGGTTCCGACTATGTCAAAATAGGGTTCCTCATCTCCAAAATCTAAAAAAATCTGAAAAATTAAATCTACAAAAACTTCTAAAAATCCGGACACGATTTTTGTAAAAATATATACCATGGTCTCGTGGAAAAACGCGCTAGTTTTAAACTAGGTTGAACTTGTGAAAAAGTATTCTTTTCACCGTTGAAAGCGAACTTCCAGATCCGCCCGGTTACAAGGGTTTGCGTGAAGGAGGTGTAGCTTAAAAAACCTACCAAAGCGGCAGAAAATTGGACAAATCCGTGAATACGGGCTGGAGCTCCAGAAAGACGTAGAGATCATGGAAACCGAAGGTGCTGATTAGGATCTAGAAATGGCTATCACAACAGCATCCACATTCCCACCAAGTCACCAGTGCTGATTAGCTGAGCGATAAATTGGGCAATGGTTGCAATGTGGAACGTCATCTCCCGATGTTTCAACTCTTTCGAGAAGGCGAATAATTTGGTGGCCGTGTAGAGGTTCAAAAATAAAGTAATGGACACGACAAATGCGCAGATCCATAGAAAGTTTTTGAGGAGGAGGGTCTGAAAAAATTGCCATTGGGCGACCGTGGTAAGTTCGTAATTTCTGGAAAAGAATAAAGGAAGAAAAGGAATAAAAAGAAATCTCTGAAAAACTGTTAGAAAATACAGATGTAGGATATAAGGAAGCTGCTTGAAAAACAGCGTAAAAAACGGGCAGTAAAATATACTACAAATGCCTTACCGTAAATCCATACTTCGACACCGTGTGTGGAAAATACCCGCCCCAACTGACACGTATAAAATAGCACTGAACGGTTACCATGGGGGCAAAATATAACAAAGAAAAAGCGATTAATACAGTAATGTAGCGCCAGGTATTTCGGCGCCAAAGCTAAAGTATCGAATGTTTTCACACCCTGCCAAATACCCTGTCGTAGCCATGAGGCATCCCGATGGAACTCGCTCGATTCAGGGCAACCAGAAAAGTGCCCAGGGCTTGAAATAAGGTGCTGGAATTTCGGAGCCAGGCGAGGAACAAGCAGACCGGTCCTTCCTGCAAATTACACATTTAGCGAGCTTAAAGCGCACGTTCAGGGACAGGCCGTGCACTCGGCCCAACGTGTACACCCTACGGACGTAGGGACCGCGCGCACTGCCTGCTCATGCCGTGTGAGGCAATTCCCGTCCTTTCCTGGGTGGGGCGCCCCACACCCTCTCGCCAGCTTGCACCTGTGGCTGACTGGTACCCATCCGCGCCTCCCGAACGGGAGGCCCGGGTTCGACCCCCGGCCGCGGCGAAAATATCTTTGCGTTCCTGCCAAAAAACGTCCCGGGAGAATCACGGCATTCCCAATTATACATGTGCTGCGGTCTGTATTTTCAGCAAACGCTCCCAGTGTTAATGTGGGATTTAGTTTTTCGATCTCTCACCTGACCTGACCATGCCAGTCTTTTTAGGGGAAAATTACATATACAATCGCCTAAATAAGCTTAAAACAAGTTGAGGGCTGACCAAAAGTTTCGCGCCACCTTTTAAAGCGCACGTTCAGGGAGGGGCCGTGTACTCGTTCCAACGTGTACACCCTATAGACGTAGGGACCGCGCGCGCTGCCTGCCCGTGCCGTGGGAGGCCATTACCCTCCTTTCCGGGGTGGGGGCGCCCCTCGGCCCCTCGCCGGGTTGCACCTGTGGCTGACTGGTATGCGACCGCGTCTCCCGATCGGGATGACCGGGTTCGACCCCCGGCCGCGGCGAAAATCTTTGCCTTTTTGTCCAAAAACGTCCCTGAACGTGCCCTTTAATGCACAAGAAAAACCGAACCTTGAACATTCCACTAAACCAAAGCAGTTACCTGAACATACCAATAGACCTCAAATACTCCCCAGGTAGGTAGGCGTACGCGCAATAGGTTTGTATAGTGCACCAAGAGATCCTATAGTGGCTGCGGTAACTTATGAAGAAAATATTAGAAAAGTTTTGGATGATCTCGATTACGTCAAATGTTGCCCGCGGTTTACAGGGTGTCCCAAAAAAACGACCCATTTGGCATTTCGCCATGTTACATCCAATCGGCCCCGAATTTGGACCAGAGGTGTATCAGACCCTAAATCACAACAATCCTGACTTATAGCCCTGTAGCTACAGTAGTTTTCGAGTTATAGCAAAAACACACTTTATTTTCCATTTTTGATAGGGCTTTCGTCGGAAACGGCCCTTCGAATATTTAGTGAAAATGAAGCGGCATGAAATTTTTTCCTGATAAAAATTCATTAAATCGCCGTTGACTTCAACAAGTTTTGTAACCAGGCGGAAGTTGATGGAAAGCGATGCAAAGTCAAAAAAGATAGCCGAAAAAACTGTTCAGAATTCCGGGAAAAACAGTATTTTCGTTATAACTCGAAAACTACTGTAGCTAGAGGGCTAAAAGTCAGGATTATTGTTATTTAGGGTCTAATACACATCTGGTCCAAATTTGGGAACGATTGGATATAACGCGGCGAAAGGCCAGATGGTTCGTTTATTGGGACACCCTGTATATCAAGCAAAGGAATTCAGAGCTTACGTTGCCCAAGCACACAAAGAATATCTTCTGGTAGTGCGTGTTGAAGCCGTGGCGGTAGTGATGTTGAGCGAGTCGGGTAAATACAAAAACAGATAAAAAGCCGATGGCGATGAAAATACAACTGGAGACAATTTCGAACGGGTCGATCAAATGACCGGCATAATCATCAGGGTGGGTCCAGTCTATGTAAATCGGATCCGGAGTGTCATCCATACCTGGAAGTTAGGGTGAGAGGGAAGACAGAGAGAGCGAGGGAGAGAAATAGCTAAACTTACGAGAGAAAAGTTTCTGCCCCTTGATTTTATGGATCCGGCTAAAAAGAAAACGAAAAGAATGGAAGGGCGTTAACAAGGCCTGTGAAAAAGGCTTTTGTTCACTCGACGTGTCGCTTGAGTAGAAGTTCGCAGGTAATTTGCTGTGTGAAAATCTCAGATGGGGCGAGACGTGGCCCGGAAGGTGGGTTTGCACCAAAACCGTTCATGACTTCTGCAAGTCCTCGCTTCTTGGTACCTAAAATCACCAAAAAAACTTAACGGGACGAGAAAGGCATGATAATTGGTTTTCATAGCCCTGGTTGATCAATGAAACCGACAAGAGCGAGCGAGAGAGAGACAGAAAGGGAGTGAGAGAGAGAGAGAGAGAAAGAGAGAGAGAGAGAGAGAGAGAGAGAGAGAGAGAGCGAGAGCGAGAGAAAGAGAGACACCCAGATAACGAGCGAGAGAGGGAGAGAGAGCGAGAGAGCGAGAGAGACAGAGAGAGATAGAGAGTCCAGCGCCCTACCGGGGAGCAGTTGTTCTGTGTAATCCACATGCCCCAATCACCCGCATTGTCCCAATCTTGCGTATTTGCCAATCGTTAGCAAATTTCGCATTTTATAATTAAGAACATGTTTTTCATATTTATTATGCGTTTTTCTGCCTATTTCAAAGTTTCATTCATCAATTTAACCAAGGTTTCTTTAAACCAACATTTCAAGCCATTATTTGCAGCGGTTTCGCCTCGAGCTACGGAAATTTCTCCAAACAATCATGTTGGAACCTATATTCCAACCTATAATGGAAAATATCATGCTAAAAAAGATTTAACTAGTAAGGTACGTTTTTAAAATATCAAGGAAAGTATTTCTGTTGCTTCATATATGGTTTTTCGGCAAGACTTTACTTTATCCCCCACAGCCCAAGGGTCTCAAAGTTTTCAAAACTTTCGCTTATTTTGTCTGGATTTTTACAAAACCATTCGATAAAGCGTCGAAAAATATACTAAAAGTTTTAATTTGAACCTACAATAATGTAAAATAAAAGGTTGTAGCCAAAACTTCCGGCGGGGACAGTAAAGTGTAGCCGGTTTTTCGCAGGGGCGCTACATAAGTATTTACACCCAATTTTTTTAGAACACAATGCCGGTTTTGACGGCCAAACAAAGGAAAAACTGCTTCCGCTAATGCTATACGGCATTATACTAAATCTAAGAGTGCCTATGAATGTTACAAACGACTCGGGGAAGGTACGACGGTTAGAATAACAATTTAATAAGTTCATTTGTGAATAGGAGATATACGTTGGCTCTGAACGGGTTTTATAATTTATATAAAATTCTAAAATTTATACCCAATTTTTTTTAGAACACAACGCCGGTTTTGAAGGCCCAGAAAAGGGCAACTTGCCCCTGTTGCCCCCCCGCCCCCCTCGTACGCCCCTGCTCACGGGTAATGAAGCACATGCCAACCGGCCGCGCTTCCGTGGTTTGGGCTTTTTCAATGCAGTTAAATAAAATTCAGCCGTGACTTTTTCGGCCGATGCTACGTATCTGATTATGGATCTGATTCCGGGGTCGCCGGTGGATATTTGGCAGAGTTAGATAAATCATAATCACGGACAAAATGTCTTTATTGAAGAGGGACTACCCCAGACAGAGGTCCTGACTAAAAGACTTTTGGCAGAAGTCTCATCGGCCCTTACATACTGCCATGAACGAAAAATAGCACAGGGGGATCTAAATTTATCTAATATTATGATTAACGAACAAGGTAGATTTATATGTTTAGACCGTACAAATGTTTAGCACATTTCATCCTGTTTGACTTCTCGAAAGCGATAACGCCCAGGCCAGGAGCACCGGAAGGGGAAAACATTTTGACCGGTGCAAGTGCAGCAAGTGCAAATCTTCATGAGATCGGTCAAAAAAACACAAATAAGGTACAGGGTGTCCCAAAAAAAAACGACCCGTCTGACATTTCGCCGTGTTACATCCAACCGGCCCCAAATTTGGACCAGAGGTGTATCATAGCCTAAATAACAACAATCCTGACTTACAGCCCCATAGCTACAGTAGTTTTAAAGTTATAACGAAAATACTGTTTTTCCCGGAATTCTGAACAGTTTTTTCGGCTATCTTTTTGGACTTTGCATCGATTTGCATCGACTTCCGGCTGCGAATCCCTAATTTCGCTTATGAACTGGGGGTAGTTTTGCGTTGTAAAAATTGCTTATATCGAAGCTTATTTAATTAATTTTACTCTGGAAAAAATTTCTTACGGTAAAGAAGGCCTACCGGATCATTTTCACTTAATGTTTAGGGGGTCTAATTCCACGAAAACCCTATGAAAAATGGAAAATAAAGTTTGTTTTTGCTATAACTTTAAAACTACTGTAGCTATGGGGCTGTAAGTCAGGATTGTTGTTATTTAGGCTATGATACACCTCTGGTCCAAATTTGGGGCCGGTTGGATGTAACACGGCGAAATGCCAGATGGGTCGTTTTTTTTGGGACACCCTGTATAGTCAGTTATATTTAATCTAATTAATTTTAGATTTTTATATTGGCCCTTTGGAGTCTCATTGATGAGTGTCTTCGAGCTCATAGATGGAGTACCATAAAAAGTGATGATAGGTATGTTAATGAAAATGACATAACCCGCGCCTTTATGTATACATAGAATAACGGGGATGGATGCTAAAAATTTTCTATAAGGGTAATTTTAAGCATGGTTTTCCGGGTTCTACAAAAGCTTTGAGTATATTTTTCGGGGCTCTATTCAATGGCTTTTTCAAACAATCTAAAATTTAAAAGCCGAAAACCCATTTCACACGCCTATCCTATAAACCCGCGAATCCTAAAGAACTCAAATTTGCTATGCTATATAACTTTTACGTAACTTTTTTTCTGGCTGAAATGACTTCTCTTACAAGGAGTGGTTTTTGAGTGTCATCGGAAAATCCTTTCGCGACCTAGCTCATTCGATAGAGAATTGAATTCTGAACAACCTCCCGGTGTTCATTTTTGCAAAACGCCTTTCCCTGATTTTATAAAATTAAAAACTTTAAATCAAATTTTGGCCAACCGTCGGTTCGCCGCATCAAAATCATTGGGGGCTCGCTCTAGGGGAAGAGGCCTTCAGCGCGTCCCTTTTCAGCATCAGCCGTGGCGCAGTGGCTAACGCGGCTGTCTGCCAAAATTTCTTTTTCCATCTTTTGCAAGTTCGGTTTTTGTAGATGTAATTTGTTTTGCTTTTTGTATTATAAGTGGCCCCAGTATTTTTAAACAGGTTGCACCTCCAATTTAGAGGACTCACACTAACCTGGATCATAATATTTGTTTTTTGTTGTAAATTTTCCTGAAAGCGCGCAGAGCAGCGAACGTTGTAATAAGTATTATTTTAAATTAATTAATTTATCAAAGCGTCTGCAAATGCGTTTATTCACAAAAAGCAAAACAAATTTTCTACAAAGGAACCGAACTTTCGACAAAGATGCAAAAAATTTTTGAAGGCGGAAGCCTTAACCACTAGGCCACGTCCCATGATGAGTTGGGCAGGCGGAGAGAGCTCATGCCCTAGGGGAGGTCACGTAGGCTGGCCGCGCAGACGGGGTACGTAAAACTCAATTTTTAGTTTTTTAATTTTATAAAATCAGAGAGAGCCATTTTGCAAAAATGAACAACGAGAGGTTGTTCAGAATTCAATTCTCTATCGAATGAACTAGGTCGCGAAGGGATTTGCCAATGACACTCAAAAACCACTCCTTGTTAGTATATTTTTCGAGGCTCCTTCAATATTTAGAAATGGAGGTGATGCAATGAACAATCTGGAAAATTATAATGTCACGACTGGAAGTGGGCTATGGGCCAGGCGCAGGTAATTTTATTAGAAAAATAGAAACCTATTTTATCTTAGACGGGACGTGGCTACCGCTTGAATGAAGTAAGCTGAAAAAATGGCGATACTGTAGTGGATGTGAATGATTTGAGCCAAAAGTTTGTTTTTAGACTTTGCCCTGGTTCAAACAATATTAGCGCTCAATAAAAGCGCCGTAACGTCCTTGAGGTGCCATCTACGGAAGCCATCTACGACATAAAAGCCACAATTTTATGCAAGACGTAGCCAAATCGATTCACTGGTTCGGGCAACAAATATTGAAAACCCGTTTGAAGACGCAGAACTCCGTGGATCGTATGGAATTTGGAATGCGTGGACCGTTCTAATGAGTGATTACACTTCGGTAATTTTTTAAGCTGTGAATTAAATACTGGTTTAGATCTTCATCAATAAAAGCTAAAGTAAAGTGGCGCTAAAGTAGCGGAAAACGGTAATTTTTTTGCAAAATAGGGATTTATTCTAAATAGGGACTATAAGCGAAGACGAAATCCAATGCACGAGGATCTACGACGACGGCTCCATTTTCCGATCAAAAAAGGATGATCGAACGCGAAGGTTTGTTCTGCAATTCCCTCCCTATTCAACAAGTTTTTAGCGCTCAAGAGAAGAAGGATATCATCTTGATCATAGGACTTACCAAATGCGAAATGTAGATCGTGAACGGCTGGATTTAAACAACAATACCAATAAATATAATAATAAAAACGTAACAATAAATCAGTACAATTGAATAAATCGGAAGAGTTCGGGCAAAAGCCAGGTTTTTTACCGTCGATAGAGCTATCTGATATCCCGGTATCGGCCCGACTGGGTCGTGCGTCATGCCAAAGCTGCTCAGCTTGCCGTAAAATTGACATTATCAAGCTTTATTATCGTACATGGAAATTATGCTATTGCCATTGGCACGCGATCGTTCTCCTTCGGGTCGGGTAGTCAACTCCATCACTTGATTTACACCGGTCACCGTAGCTGGTTCTTGATCTCGCTTCACGGCACCTCTCACGATTTTCCTCGTTTCTTCGGAGATCAGGAGCAAGAACCTTAAATAGTTACATTATATAGAATATTAGAAACATATTATACTCTTTAAAATTAAAGGGGCTCGGAAGTCCAAAATTCGTGCCTGCGGGGATTGAACCTACTGGTCAAAAAACGAAGGGATTACTGACCCAGAAGGTCGGTTTTGTCGCCAAAAAAAGCAAAATGTTTGAGAAAACCCGAATTGCTGTCGGGCCACAAACGAATTTTTGAACGTGCAGCGATTCCATGTCGCAATGCCTTGTTAGGTACCTAATCTCCCGATCCCGGTGATTCTCTGATCAATCGTCATAATTAAAAAGTAAAATTCGGTGAAGGTTTCAGAAATAGCGTCAGAATGCTTAAATTCAAGCGTTTTCACGTCCAAACAGTGACAAAAATCATGCGGCGCGGTCGCGTTACGCTCGTATCTGGCTATTTGCCAGGAAGCAACGCAGGGGCCGTGGAGAACGTGAAGAGAAATTTCTTTTGGACGCTTACCATAACGGCAAAAAGTTTGAGATATCGGTAAAGACGGGCTGCAGTTCCAGAAACATTGCAACGTCATATACATCAAAATTGTGGATAATTATCTAAGACAACTTGGAATCAATCTTGAACAATTACCAAGTCTCCTGTGCTAATCAGCTGCGCCAAGAATTGTGCAATAGTTGCGATATGGAATGTTTTTTCGCGTCTTTTCAGCTTTTTGGTGAAAGCTACTAGTTTAATTCCGGTGTAGACGTTTAATAATAGAGTCATTGCCAAGGCGCATACACAAATCGGTAGGTTGGCATGGAGAAGAAAGGTCTTAAAGAGATTTAGAGGATCAAGAACGTGTGGTAAGACTTTACTTTACCCCCGCCCCCCACAGCCGAAGAGTCTCAAAGTTTTCCGTATTCTCGGTTATTTTGTCGGGATTTTTGCAGCGCCATTCGATTATGCGTCGAAAAATATACTAAGAGTTTGAATTAGAGCGTACAATAATGTAAGATTAAAAAAAGTTATAGCGAAATACTTCCGCTGAGGGGAGGGGGTAAAGTAACGTTTAGCCGAACTTGTTTTCTTACCACATAGCCTTGATTCGAAAGTGTCCGAGGGTAATAATACCCCCATGTATAACGTATGAAATAACTATGAACGGTGAATAGTAGCAGAAAATATAAGGCCGATACTACACCCAGTACAGTGATGATGCGCCAAGTGTTTCGGGACCAGAGCTAAGGTTGTAACTTTTTGATGTATTTAAGCTGGCTTGGAATGTAATCACGTACCCTCTCATAGTCATGCGGAATTCCGATCGAGGTAGCCCGATTTATGGCGATTAGTAATGTGCCTAACAAGGAGACGTTTTTGAGTGTCGTCGGGACTTTGGCATGGGACTAAGCCTACCATGTGCAGAATTTTACGCTGATTCCGAATATGGTAACCTTTTTTGCGGAATAGCCATTTCTCGAAAGTTATGAACGATTTAAACCTCGAAACAGCCCAAAATCGGCTACTTCCGATAGTCATAAAAGGCTTCGGAACAGGTTTTAGACAAAAACAAATAATGCATCTTGTTCAGAAAAAAATTCTCTATAAAATAAACTACTTATCTCAAAAAGATTGGAATTTTGAAAATTTTTGTAAAATTCCAGTTGCCTTCCAATTAAGTCCAAATAAATGTCCAAATAAAAGCCTTCCAATTAATCAAATTTTTCTAACTTTTCAATGATTTTGGAGAAGATGGTACATTGTATAGAGAATTTTTTTCTGCACAAGCTGCACTTTCGGTTTTTGTCTAAAACCTATTCCGAAGCCTTTTATGACTATCGGAAGTAGCCGATTTTGGGCTGTTTTGAGGTTTAAATCGTTCATAACTTTCGAGAAATGGCTATTCCGCAAAAACGGTTACCATATTCGAAATCAGCGTAAAATTCTGCATAAGGTAGGCTTACTCCCATGCCAAAGTCCCGACGACACTCAAAAACGTCTCCTTGTAAGCTTGACACATCGTACTGACGTCGCCAAGCCAGGTAAGGAAGGCACAGCAGGGTCCGTCCTGGAATACTTTGCTCTTTTATAACGGAGATATTCATAACGCCCTAATTTTTATTTTGTCGAAAAATCAATTTGTCGAAATTCCGAAGCCTGTTCGCCTCGATTATTCATCTCAGGCAGTTGGCAAATTTATGTTTAAGCGCATGAAGTTTCGGCAAAAGAAAATAAAGAAAAGAAAAAAGAAACAACATAAAATGCCGAAAAAATGAAATTTCGACAAAATGAAATATAAAAAAAAAATGATGTTTCGACGAAATTAATATTTCGACAAACAGCTAGCCAATCATTTACAACGTATTAACGAAGCAGTAACGTTACCTGAACATACCATTATACCTCAAATACGCCCCAGGTTGGTAAACGGATACGAAGCATGTTGGTGTAGTGAACTAACAGATCCTAAAGTTTCTACATAGCCTTTACGGGAGTCTGCGGTCCTATTAAAATCGTCCGAGCGTCTACTCACATTAGCGGTGCATGCGAAAAATATCTTCTGATAATGCGTACTAAAACCGTGACGATAGTGATGTTGAGCCAGTCGAATAAAGACAAATACCGATAAGAATCCGATCGTTAAAAATATGCAACTGGATGTGATCTCAAACGGGTCCATGAAGCGGCCCTCATAATCATCCTGGTGGTTCCAGTCTATTTTGATGGTATCGGTCGAATCCACCATTTCTGGATTTCCTCCAGATTTCCGGATTTCTCCAGCCGGAAGTTCTTTGCTATAACTTTTTTATTTTACATTAATGTAGGCTCAAATTAAAACCATTAGTAATTTTTTCAATGCTCTATAGACTGGCTTTGCAAAAATCCCGACAAAATAAGAGAAAATACCGAAACCTTTGAGACCCTTCGGCTCTGGGGGGTGGGGTAAAGTAAGCTCTTACCGGAAAATTTACTTACCTTCGGCACCAAATGCAGGTTTTGGAAATGATGTGAGTCTTCCAAACTGGTACGAGCGACAAACCAGACGGAACCTCCAGTTTTAGAAAAAACTTCGCGTGGGAATGTTGTAAAAACTTTTTGGGATTCCTTGCACCCGGGTAGCCCTTGGGTGGTGGTTTGGGGGGTATATTTTAGTCATTAAAAAGAAAATCAAAAGTCAATTTCGGGTAGCTTTTCCCAGCCGTTCCAGTGTAATTTGTTGTGGGCAAGCGCAACGGCATTTCCGGCTCGCCTCTGAATTTATGGCACGAGAGGTTAATGTCCTAACTCGAGTTTTACATAGGACATGACTTGTGGCTTTGTTTAGCGGCTTGAGTGCGACATTCATTCCACCCTTTTCTTGCCTGGTATCTACAGGGTGTCCCAATAAAAAAGGTCACGCTGACCTTTTGCTATTTCAAATCCGTCCGACTTGAGATTTTTACCAGAGCTGCGGACGGGGATTTAAAATGTTCACAGAAACTTTCAGCCCGATCGGTACAGTGGTTTTCGATTTAGGGCAAAAACAAACTTTATTTTACGTTTTTAACCCGAATTTCGCGGAAATTGAGTCTTGAAATGTATGGGGAGAATGAAGCGCCGACCCTTTTTACCCCAGGAAATTCTTTATATCGCAAAATTTGGTTTGGAAATAGGATATTTAAGGAATTTTAACCAGGGCTAATCGGGGCCGCTGTTTAGAAAAATGAGGGATTTATAGCTGGAAATTTATGTTAATCCATGCGAAGTCCAAAAAGCAGCCGAAAAAATGAAGCGAAAGTGTGGGAAAAACAGTATTTTCGCAATAACTTGAAAATTACTTTACCGATCGGGCTGAAAGTTCTGTGAACATTTTAAATTGCCTTTCGCACTTCTGTGCAAAATTTCAAGTCAGTCGGTTCTAAAATAGCCGAATGCCAGCGTGACCATTCTTATTGGGACACCCTGTATATTACGCCATCAAAAAATTACGCCATTTACTTTATTGTCGTGCAAAGTAAACATTACTGCCCCTCCCCCCATTGTGTCGCGATGGGCTTTGATAGCCTGGTTCGCTCATGCTTCTGTATCATGACTATGCACAAAGTTTATGCTTTGAGGGGATTTTCGGCCACAGACACCACAGCTACAGCTTTCGGAACACTGCTTTTGCCGGTGACCATTATGCGTGTTTCTTCGGAGAGGAGCAGCAGAACCCTAGATATGCAATCGTAACGTTTGAAACCCTAGCCCAATCAGCCAAAACCATGCCTACAAAAGCCCAAAGCCGACTAAGAACCTACCATAATGGCAAAAGGTTGGTAATATCAGCAATGGTAGGTTGCATGCGGAAGACGATGTAACTATCATCGACACGCAGGGCGTTCACAACTAGCTGAATGAGCAAATACACTACCGATGTCTTAAATTTCTTGGTCATTACGTCATTCACTCATGTTTCCCCGACATGTACCAAAAGCTAGCATCAAACGAGTTTTCGGGGAACTACAGGGTGTCCCAATAAAAAAAACACCCCCTCTAACTCGACGTCAAAGTTTCGGATCGCAATGATAGTTACACCATTCGAAAACGGCGCGTTTGCAACAATCTTCAAATGCATGTTCATTGAAATGCGCCATTTAACAAGTTCGCCGTTTCGTAAAGTTTTTAAACGCGTTGTAAAATGCCGGGTTTAAATAAAAACGTGTTGTTCAAAATTGATGCAAGCGCGCCGCTTCAAAGGCTTTCGCATGGTGTAACTACCATTCCGATCCGATACGCCTGCGTCGAGTTAGAGGGGGGTGTTTTTTATGGGGACACCCTGTAGTTTTCAGGCAAACGTCTATCAAAATAAATATAGGGCCAATCGGGTCCACATGCTTACCAGCTCGATGGTGTTGACCATTTGCGCTGCAAACTGCGCGAGCGTCGTGATATGGAAACGTAGCTCTCGTTTAGTCAGAGCTTTGGTGTGGGTGAATAGCTTGTAGGCGGTGTAGAGGTTGACGAGGAGTGTCAAAAAGATCAGGACGCCACATATGGGATAGTAGCATTGTTGCATTGCTATCTAAAATTGGGCTTCTGGGCAACGAAGCGACATGTAACATAGCGGCACATACAGGGCGTTCCAAAAAACGATTCGCGGTCATTTTACCGTGATTCGTTGTACCGAAAGCCACTTTACCGGAAGTCGTTTTATGGAAAAGTCGTGTTACGGAAAAGTCGATTTACCGAAAAGTGGTTCTACCGAAAAATCGTTCTACCGAACAGTCATTTTTACCGAAAGGTGTTTCACCGAAAATTCTCCCAAGAATGTTTACTTCGATCTCCTTCATAGTCTTTTCGGTAAAATGCGTTTTCGGTAAAATGACTCTTCGATAAGATGACCCTCGGTAAAATGACTTTTAGGTAAAGCGAATTTTCGATAGAATGACTTTTCGGTAGAACGACGCGGTAGAGTGACTTTCGGTAGAATGACCAGCACCCCCAAAAACCCACCGCAGACGTGTCCGATTTTTACGATTTTGGTATCTAATGAAAGCTCAATCGGCTATGCTCCTTCCGATTTTTGAAATTCCGGATTTTTGGTTAGATTTTTGGCATTAGTCATACAAAAGGAAATCCTTTTTTGGTGAAAAACAAGATTTTGCCGGTTTAAGCACCAAGAAGCGCTGTGTTTATGAGTTCGCTTTCCGAAAGGTGCCATCGGGCTGCCGGATGAAGACGTAAAAAGCGATAAATTGTGATTTGGCTGAAAAATCCTCAGACCAGAAAACTAGCAAAAAACCGGCCAGTTTCGGAAAGATATTAGTAAAAAAGTTCGAGGATTTTGAGAATCGGAAGGAAGTGCTAGACTAGGTCCGGAGCTGTCGATCAAGACCAATATCGTAAAAATTTGACACTTCTGCGGATCGCTAGGCAAGGTGTTTTTTTGGGACGCCGGTAGTTTTACAGTAACGCGCACCGTAAACGCCAGATGATCCTCGGTGTTGGGTAGGTACATGCCCCAGCCGAGGCGATAGTATTTGCTGGTAGCGGTAAAATTGTGAGCACAATATAGAAAGGGAATTAAAGCAGTGATACCGATGTAATGCCAAGTGTACGGCTCCCAGATCTTAAACAAGATTATGCGGCTATAATGTGGTTTTTTAAAGGTCTGTATAGTGGAACGATGAACCTCGGAAGAGCAAGAAGGGAGAACGGCGCGGATAGTTTCGCTTAGAATGTATGCTGGACCTACTTGTTTGTATTTGTAGGGAAATGTTAGGGCAGTCGCTCTATTCAGCGCAATTAATAAGGTTCCGAGAATTTGGAACAATATGCAATAGTCGTTGAACCAACACAAGAGCCCAGGGAAGAAGCCTTCCTGGAAAATTGGCACGCTTATTATTAATGGGAGAGAGAGAGAGAGAGAGAGAGAGAGAGAGAGAGAGAGATAGGGCGAGTGCGTTAGTAATGAGTGCGTTAGTGAGTGAGTGAGTGAGAGCGAGAGGGAGGGAGAGAGTGAAAGATAGAGAGAGAAGTGCGACCTAGACTTACCCTGACATACCAAAATACCTCGAAGAAGCCCCAGGTTGGGAGGCGTACCCGAAACATCAGCACGTAATGCCCAACCAGATCCTGAATTTTACCGTTGGAATCTTTTCCATTTGAGAAGCGCTTACATTTGCTGTGCATACAAAAAAGATCTTCTGAAAATGCGTCTCGAATCCATTTCGATAGTGATATCGAGCCATTCTCGAGAATACAAATACCGAGGCAACACCAATAAAGAAAAATACAGTGCTCGAGGTGGCCTCTGCGGGGTCGAAAAAATGTCCTTCATAGTCATCTGGGGGCTTAGAACCATCATAATCCATAGAGATACTTTCGGAAGATCTCGCAACGTGTTCAGAAAATGAATTTTCACGAAAGAAAACTGACAGGGTGCATAAAGTACAATTTCAGTTGAGCCAAGTTGGCCCAAAATTTAGTTTAATAGCATCTTGAAAAGCCAAGATATAATTGATGCCTTTGAGGCAAATGTGGCAAGACAAAGCTAAAAGTCGATGGAGAAAATCGTGAGGCCTGGAAAATTCGGGGTTGCGGGGCTCACGCGTGTATTCGTTCCAAGAACTCGTTTGAAATTTCGCCATTAACGGGTCATGGAATAGGCAATTAAAGGGGCTCGGAAGTCAGATTGGCTACACTCTACCTTGCCCCCCCCCCCTAGCCGGAATGTTTTCGCTATAACTTTTTATTTTACATTTGTGGAGGCTGAGAATAAAACGGTTGGTATTTTTTTGGACGCTCTATAGAATCGCGTTGCAAAATCCCGACAAAATAAGCCAAGATACCGAAAACTTCCAAACCCTTCGGCTGTGGGGGATTAAAGTCTTACCTCATGATTCGTTTGAGCGGGTCACTGCCGAGCAGCCACAGAAAATTGATCTTGTCTCGAAAAAGCATAAAATGCAGGAGTGAAATCGGCATTTTTTCGGGGCAAAAACGACTTCTTGAGCATGCGGCGATTATGTCGTAATGCACTGTAAGGCCCCCAATCTCAATAATTCTCTGGTCAATTTTCATAATTGTTGTGTTTCTAAATCTATGTGCTGTCAAAATGCCGAAGATCATAATCTGGAATCTTCGGAATGTCGAAATTTCATACTGGCGAAAGCCAGGGCCACGAATTTTTTTTTGCATAGGATTCGGTGGGATTTAAGGGAAATTCGCTTATGTAAATTTCGACATTGTGAATTAAACATTATGAAGTCTCGGCATTCTAAAATCTCTACATTCTGAGTGTGGTTTTCGCTGTATTGCATTAACTCACACTTTATTATCATGCACTGTTATAATACTGCGGTTTCCATTGGCTCTAGAGCTGTTTCGAGTCGACATGTCGCTCATTTGGAAAGCCGGTTTTGCTCCGGAAATCGTAGCAAGCTCGCCATCACTTTTGCCGCGTCCTCTGACGATCATCCTCGTGTCTTCAGAAATCAGGATGAGGAACCTACAATTTTTACGTACTTACGATTTCCTTTTAGGTTTCAATAGCCGAAAACGGTACCACAACGGCATGAAGTTCGAAAAATCAGTAAAAACCGGCTGCAGTTCAAGGAATACATAATATTCATCAAAGTTAAAGTTGTTGATTAGGATCTAAGCTAAGGTCTAAAATCCTATAAAAAGTACCAAGTCTCCAGTGCTGATCAGCTGAGCCACAAATTGTCCGATAGTCGCTATATGGAAGCTCATCTCCCGTTTCGTCACTTTTCTTGTGAAGCCGAATAATTTAACGGCAGTGTAGACGTTTACGAATAACGTTAGCGCAACTACGCATTCACAAATTGGCAGGAAGGCTTGAAGGAGAAGGGTCTAAAGCTCGATTTTTATATTCATGAAAAAAGCGCTGCGCAATGTATATTTTCGAATCCACTACCGTATAATCGGCCCTATCCAGGGTATATGGGAAATAATAGCCCCATCCGTAACGTAGAAAATAGCTCGGTATCGTTAGTATTGGAGCGAAATACAGCAGTGGAATTGCCGCTATGACAGCAATAGCACGCCAGGTGTTCCCACGCCAGATCTAGACTTTTTAAGAGTAGTTTTGTAAGGGTTAACTGATAAATAGACAAATCCTATATTCTTTTCTAAGCCTAACCAGATGGTTACAGTCGCTTCGCGACTGCAACCATCTGGGCTTCAGGCTACCCTACATGTCCTACTCCACCACATCCTTCCCTACCTCCAACAATACCCACGCTAACCGCTTCAGATAACCCCCATAGCCGAAATCCCCTTCAAAAACTACCTAAATACCTTCCTGATGGCTTTAGATACCTCCCCTAGCCGAAATCCTTTTAAAAACGAAAATAACGACCGACCGGATGGAATGAGAGAAAAAAGAAATGAAATCCCCGTGAAAATTTTCATCCACGAAACGCGCGCCACCTGGCTCACTATGTCCAAAATCAGCCCAACCTCCGCCCCCCCCCCCCCTTTTACTAAGGAAAAAACTTTCAAAGTTAATTTTAATAATTTAAACTAAAATTTTTTCATAATTTTTTTACCAGTTTGGGGGTTTCTGACCATGCTCTATCCGAATCCGAAGAGAGCTAAGCTCTAGCTCCTTTCCCCTTCGAGTTGAATCCGGGACATGACGGACGGACAGACGGACAGACACCACTACTTTTTTTATTATAGTTGATCCTGATAACACAATATTATCTACCCTTTCGTACTCGTGAGGTATCCCAATCGAAGTAGCACGATTGATAGCGACCACAAATGTACCGAGTGTTTGAAACATTATGCTAGCATTTCCTAGCCAAGCGAGGAGAGAGCAAAATGGGCCTTCCTAAAACGATTCACGATGTATACGTAAACGCTGAATTATGTATTGGTTGCATCGCACTTCTAGAACCCCATAAACCCTAAGCAAAAACCAAAAACTAGACAGAGAGTGACACGGAATGTTACTTACCTGAACATACCAATAGAATTCGAGTACGCCCCAGGTAGGCAAGCGTACGCGTAGCATATTGGTGTAATGGACGAGTAGATCCTAGACAAAGCTAAGATTATCTTACTTACGGCCGGTACTTTTGAAGCCACCCACATTGAACAAACACGCAAAGAATATCTTCTGGTAGTGAGTACTGAAGCCATGACGATAGTGATGTTGAGCAAGTCGCATAAATACAAAAACGGTCAGGAAGCCGATGATAAGAAATACACAACTCGACGTAATCTCGAATGGATCGACAAAGTGATCTTCATAGTCGTCAGGGTGGCTCCAGTCTATTGATAGACCATCTGGGTCGTCGGCCATTTTGATTTTGATAATTCGAGATATAAATAGAACTAGCTTATAGTTAAGATTTAAATATCGTATAGATTCCTATGGAAAGTGCATTTTCGAGTCATCGAAGTCAGTGCATAACGCAGCGTGCTCCAAAATAGGCTCGAACATAGGTTTCTTTCCAGGCTAATTTTCCGTGGGAATGAATGCCAAAAAGCATGTTGGAACCTGGCATCAATGAACGATTCGTGTGTCATTGCAGTATGTTTAGGGAAATCAGTTATCATTGAAAAGAGTAGAGACTCTTGTTTGATATTGTGTACAGGACTAAACTTTACTGTACCCCCCCCTCCCAGCCTGAGGTTTTTGGTTATAATTTTTTTATTTTACATTAATGTAGGCTCAAATTAAAACGTTTAGTAGATTTTTCGACGCTCTATCGAATGGCGTTGCAAAAATCTCGACAAAAATCCCGATAATCACGAAAACTTTGAGGCCCTTCGGCTGTGGCGGGGGGTAAAGTAAAGTCTTATCGGTGTACAGTGAAGCCAAGCGATTTCCGGCCAAAATGACGACATTCGAAATGACGACAGCCAAAATGACGACAGCCAAAATGCCGACAACTAAAATGACGACATTCGAAATGACGACAGCCAAAATGACGACAGCCAGAATGACGACAGCCAGAATGACGACAGCCATAATGACGACAGCCAAAATAGCGACAGCCAAAATGGCGACATTCAAAATGTCGACATTCATATGACGACATGCAAAATCAGCCACAATAGCTGGGAAAAATCAAATTTTTGCATGTCGTCATTTTGAATGTCGCCATTTTAGCTGTCGTCATTTTGGCTGTCGTCATTTTGGCTGTCGCTATTTTGGCTGTCGTCATTTTGGCTGTCGTCATTTTGGCTGTCGTCATTTTGGCTGTCGGCATTTTGGCTGTCGTTATTTTGGCTGTCGGCATTTTGGCTGTCGTCATTTTGAATGTCGTCATTTTGGCTGTTTCCCAAGCCAAGCGTAGCTAAACTGGCCGACGCAAAGCTCCGTTCTGAGCTCTGAACCTCTGCGCTTGTGGGATTTTTTCAGTCATCCAGCCTCTCACAATAACTTTCCTAATAATTTATTCCATTCGCCATGGCGATTGAAAATTGAGATCTTGTTGGAGCGTCTCTATTCCTAACGGGCACGCGGTCGGAAATGGCCGT